GGCACTTCCGACGCCCCACTGAGCGTTTACTGACACTAGTCATGCCATTAACCCAACTGAGAACTTTCTTCTATATTTCAGGGTCTGTCCCATCGCGGTGTGCCCAAAGGAAATTGGTACTTTGTCGACGGCCGAACTTCCGAGGCTGCAGTTTTGTGGCTGCCTCCCATTGCGGAATCCAAATAATTACCACTTAAAGAGATTGCTGCACTGTTATGAACATTTAATAAAGATATTTTTGCTAAGCTTCTTGTTGTACTATAATCGGGGAAAGACGTTAGCAAAATACTTGTTATAAAAGATGGCAAATAACATCTGTACAGGGTCTGCAGCGGCAGTTGGCGAACTTAATCGTCCGGGAGATCAATTTCCTCGGGATTACTGGCTGACTCTTTCATGCGCTTGGAGAGTCTGGCGTACTCTAGGTCATCCGCATCAAGGACATCATTTTCGTCGGCATCCAAATTATTATCGTCAGCAGACGGAGTGAACCACTTGCGTTTGCGTGTCTCACCTTCCTCAGCATCCTCCTCATCTTCTTCGTCCTCTTCCTCAGATTCCCTTTCGCTGTCTGAGCCACCTTTACGCATAGCCCAGTTTGCGGCGAGAGCCAACAGTTTCCTATTGGGCTGTTCGGTGTCGGCGTCTGGGAAGATGTATTCCACGTACTCTTCCCAGCCCCCTCCAGCTTCCTCGTCAAGGCGACGGCTACGAACCACCCGTTGTGGTTCGAAGCCGGCCACTTCGGCACGCGTTTTGTCATCACCATATTCAGCCTGTAGAGAGTTAATATTAATAATGGGAGTATAGCAAAAGTACGAACAATATCGACATAAGGCGCAGAAACTCCAAAAAAAAACATTTAAGTAACTTCTGGATGCAACGACTTAAACGCGACTACGCAGTACAAGTATAAGTAACTTAAATGCCCGCTTATTATAAAGAGTTGAGGGGAGAGATAAGATATTAAGATCAATGAAAGTAATATTATCACTAGTCCTCATTTAGGCGGCTCAGATTTATGGCATCACTAATCGGTTTGACCTCTACCCTATAATTGTAAGTTAGTTTTAGCTAATATCGTTTATCTAGCCTTTCATTCAAAAATAACGAAGAGCGCCTGCTCCAGCTCTGTTGCGTAACAGAGGCGCTACCGGCTGCAACAGGACTAGGACATACAGGAAAGCGGACGAGTCAACAAAATGCCGGAACGAACAATACAATGAATCCGAAAGTTTGACAGTGAGGCCAACAAGTCCAGAACGGTCAACTAGCATCCTAATATCACTTAATACAGAAACAAAACACCTGTTCGCGCTGGCCATAGTCAAAAACCCGATTGTCTCCCTCTAGGTATAAGTGAGAACATCTGTTTCCTATCGCAAAATGCAATAGGTCCAGTGCGTAGCAGCTTGCTTCTGTCACTTGCTTTTATACTGGAAGCTCATTACGTTAACGCAAGAAAGAAATAACTACACCTTATAGTGCAAGACGTGATGAAAACGTCTGACCCACAAGTACAAGACAAAAGCCATAGTCTATGCCTTCCTACCTCAAAGTCCTTCCAGGCGTCGATCAGTTGAACCCTCTGTTCCTTGTCTTCGCACCTGCGCAAAGTGACGTTGGCTTCACGGTAAACAGCACGAGCGCGTTCAATGGCGGCAACTGCTTCTTCTTTGTTTATCTGAGACTCCCTTGCCTCTTCCTCGCCATGCTTGTCTTCATTGGTTTTTTCGCCTTCAGGGGCTTCGTAGCTCTGAGCACAAAGCTCAAAGTTGGCCAGACTTAACCAGACCTAGACACACAAAAATAGAGAACAGGTGT